GAGAGAGAGAGAGAGAGAGAGAGAGAGCTATATATACTTGTAAATAGAAATCAGCCAGCTCCATAGTGGGCCGGTGGCAATCGCCGTAACGTATGGCCTCCATAATCAACTGATCCACAAAAAAAATAAACAACAAATTAGCAAAGATACACTCCAAGACATGGCTCGGGAAGCACTGGTCCACACAGTCTCTGGTGATTACCCTTTCGGTATAGTTGCGGATCTCGTATGCCTTCCAATAGGAGAGTTGTATGCGCTCGTCGCGGATCAGATCGTTCACCGAACGGGCGATCGTCTTGAGCCGTATGTGTTTGCCGTACAGCTGTCGGCGCCATTCGGTGTCGCCCTTCACGCGAATGGGTTCGCCCGGTATCTCGTATCGCATCCGTGGTATCATTTTATCCACACTTGTCTAAAGACATCAATCAAAACAATTAATATAATCATTAATTTAATGAAACAATTAATACTAACCGTCGGATAGTTTTTGTACATCCAATGGGCTGTCGGTTAAAAAACATATAGACATTAGTGTCAAGGCATACAACACCCCACCTCCTCCCTCTCCCCCCACACCCCCAATGACTTACCTTTGGGAAACTTGAACACCATTTTGTTCCCACTGTTTGTTAATTGCAATTATAATTAAAAAGTTAAAAGTGTTTTGTTTTGTATTTTGTTTACAATCAGCGCATAGACTGTGTATCGCATTTGTGTTGTCTCTCACCCACACGTATTCCCCGTAACGTTATTTATGAACAGACCCTTGCGTTGAGATAAACAGCGGTTTTTTGATTTGTAAATACAATTTCTGGAGAAAAACCTTTTTTTGTTTTATTAATTAAATATTACTAATTATCTGTGATTAGTGTCCGCTCCCGAAGACATCGATGACTGTCGGCGGCAACACAGCGGTGGCCAACCGTATGGCAAACGCCGGCCGACGGCTGTCACAGCACTTTCCCTATGCGTTCAGTCAGTGTTTGGCTGAGGTTTGTATGCATTTTGAGTTCAAAAAAGTTTTTGCAAACTTTTCTAATTGTTTGGATATTTATTGAATTGTTTTGTTAATTGCATTGATTTGTTTGCGTGTAATATAGGGCTCACTGTATGCCAAATGTATTGAAGCCAATGATGTCCATAATGTCCGCAAAGATGTCTGCCTTCAAGAGTTTAAGCGACTGAAGGATTGCTTTCAAAAAGCGTTGAAAAATAGTCCAAAATGACACTTAATTGTGGTTTTATTTGTTATTTAAATTAGTTTTATGTCTTAAATTATAGTTTAAATGTTTAGGAAATTTATACGTTTATTGTATTACAAAACACAATAATTATAATAACTTGTAGTCAATCGTACGGTCCGCCCGACCATATAGTTATAGTTATAACGGGTATTGTATTGTATTATAAATTATTAGTTGATTTGAATTAACTGTAAATATAACCAAAATCTATACGCAAAGCATTAAATCAATTAAAACTACTTTTTCTCAATGAATTTGTGTTGAAATGATTGGCTCAAAGAGTAAGACATATGTTTAAAATATTGACATTTTACTTTATACGACAATTATTATAAAGTTTTACATATATTTTATTTATTTTTAATTATTATTGGTTATAAATTTAATAGTTAAATACTATACACATGAATTAAGTTAGTTAAATTGATATATATTTAATCTTAGTTAAGTTATAATGCTTATTAATAATAATATGAATTATAACGATTGTAACGATTGTACTGATTGTTTAAAATTACCATGATAAGATGAATTTTTAATAAATTAACAAGTGCTATTTTAAGTAGAATTTTGACAAACATGCAACATTGTTAACTTAACTTACTTACCTGTTATCACACCGGTTTCCATAATGGAGGTTCAACTGTACCTCCACTACAAACTACATTCAAGTGATTTACACAAAAAGGGCGTATATATGAACGCAGGTAGGGCTAGAGTTACGCCCTTTTGGCACAAAGTTATACAATGTGTTGACAAAAACCCACACAATAAACACTTCCCAAAAACAAAACACTAGTATTTGTGGCCAACACTAACCGTCGGGAAAGCAAACCAATCGGTCATTAGGTCACCAACACATCCACCGAAGACACCGCACACACACTCTCTATCCCTTTCGCAGACACACTGACCACAATGTCGGCGGCCATCGAGTCCTCCGATCGCAATAACATACACGAAGAGCGGTTCCAATACACGGATCAGTGGACGATCACCACAAAGAAGTCCCATATATTGCAGTCGAAATGTGTGTCGCCTTTCATTTGCGACAAAACCAAAGACACTGTCAATGGCTTGTCATCGGAAGCGGCGGTCGATTTGGACAGAGTTTGCATGTGTTGCCGGTATGTCTGCAAACACTTTGTTTTTGTTTATCTGTGTCTTAATTGATCCAATGGTTACCCAACATAGGTATGAGTATCTGCTATCGATGCCACACATGCCGGACATGACTTACGCCAACAATTGGCTTATTGTTGACCACAAGACGGGCTTTTCGTTGCGTTTCAATTGCTTGGATGCGCTGCGAGTGGTGTCCAAAGAGTTGCCCCGACATCTGAAAGTGGACGCCGCCGACGATTGGATGAAATCGCGGGCCGACAGCCAATACACACGCTTTACGGCCAAACCATTTGACTGGACGTTCACCACCGACTACAAGGGCTCAGCGGTGAGCGTCGCCGACGGCACTGATGTGGCCACCGATGGCTCGGCGGGCGTGGAGTTCGCGCCGACTGATGAGCGCATAAACATCGAGCGTCTGAAGCGTAAGGACGATATACTCTTCTACGACGACGTGGACCTGTTTGAGGACGAGTTGGCCGATCACGGAGTGGCCAAGTGTTCGGTCAAAATTGTAAGCATTAATACCAGCGCTCGGCCCATCGAGTGGCCGCCACCTGTGTCTCACTATAACTACAATTTATTGTGTCTTTGTTTTGTACAGCGAGTGATGAAACAATCATTTTTCATATTAATGCGATTCTTCCTCCGCATCGACAACGTATTGGTCCGCATGAATGACACCCGACTGTACCACGAGGTCAGTGTCCACACCAGCCGTTCCCACTCCCCGTCCCTACTAATCAATTGTCTCTCGAGATTAGTTTTTAATGTGATTTACACCTGATTTTTGTCGGCCCTAAAGGTTGGCACAGACTTTATATTACGCGAGTATACGAATCGGGAGGCGTTCGTGAAGGACCTGCACATACCGGCGCCCGTACTCATAGATCCCGTACAACTGGCCAACCATT